CCTAGTGTCTGATGCCAGAGCCGTCTGGAGTCTGACTGCACACGAGCGTGGGTAAGCAGATGCACGGCGGCTCAAAACTCACCCATATCACCCATAACATGATGTGTCACCTATTCAGCTGTGTTGAGAGGCGTAGCGCACGCTTTGCACGGGCACTGCAAAAGAGCGGAGGCGGCGGCAGCACTGCGCGGCCTCAAAGAGTCAGTTTTTCAGCGTGCTCAACTGCTCCTCCAACCAGCAGTGCAGCGCTAAAGGAAGCCGAGCGTAGTCTTTCATCATCATCATGCGTAGCTTCTCGCCGCGCTGCACCTTTTTTGGTAAACATCCAACCTCCACGACGTTGCACAGAGTAACGGTTGCGATGCTTTTGATCTATGTCTAGGGAGCACCCGCATGGCGTACCTGGTAATTCTTAATGTCTTGGCCGAGCGGTCGGCCTTGCATACAAAATCCCACACTTGATCCGGCACAAGCTGTCATCTGTCACGACGGCTAGAAAGTGAAGAAAGTCGGCCATACAGTCAGAACCCTGAGTTCTCCACAAGATGGAAATGCTTTGGTTCCCAACCTTCGAGCCCTGGTGGAGGTCTGACCTGTGTGCATGCCCGCGCCACATAGTGTCGGCCCTCATGGTCGGCGGGGTAGGGGCGCCGAAACGAGGCTGGAAGAACAAAAAGGCCTCGATCCACATCTGGCCGATGCCCGCCTCGTAGCCCAGCATATACCTGTGGGTCATGCAGTCGACGGTGGCCACATTGAAGTCCTGCACTTTGTCGGTGTCCAGCCTGCACTCGTCGACGTATGCGACTAGGCTTAGATATGACTCTCGATGCTGTGTCCAGGTTCGCTCTCCTGCCGAGCTTCGTCCTGGCACCAAAACGTGTCGCATACCTGGCTCCTTTGCCATCTTCGCATGGTGGGGCTCGCACTCCAGCATGCGCTCCTGCACGGACGGGTTGCCATCCTCCTCCGAGGTCGTGCCGCCCGAATCGTCCAGGCGGCTGGACTTCCCCTCCGCCCCGTCCAACAGTGCTGGCGGGGCGAGGCGGTCGCGACCCCGATGTAGAGTAGCTCGCCACCTCTCTCCACGGTCCGTCCGCCGAAGAGGCGCCCGAACTTCCCACTCGTCCGTCGTCGCTGCTCTCCTCGCCTTCCTCACCAAGGACATGACGAGCCCAATCCAATACAGAAGTAGAGCATTGTGGAACTTCATTTCTGGCCGAAACGGCTACGGAGCCCTGCTGGCCTCGAGCGAGACGACATATATCAGGCGTGACGATCAACTCGACTGCGTCCCCACGCCGCAGACCAGGGTCCCTTGAAGGCTTGTCGGAGCTGTTGAACTCACTCGGGACCCACCTGAATCCTACGAAAAGGTTACGGGACAACGACAGCGCCGACGCTCGCCGAACCTGGACCAGAAGAGGAAAAGCACGGGCCCTGGATCTCGCAAAACTGAGCGTGACTCCGAGGTTATCCCCAAGAGCCAGAAGGCGACAACTATGAACTCCAGGTTCCAGAGCGACGTTAGCGATCCCAAGGACTCCAGCTCTGGCTTCTCCTTCATGTACTGTCATCTTTCTTTTCCAGGAATGACAGAAAAGCACCTTCCAGTCTTTCCCTACAAGCCCCTCGAGCGGTACCTCGGGAAACGAAAGGTCTTGCTCCCAGAGCTCCGAGACGTCCTCGAGAGACGGCGGTGGCGTCACAAACACAAGCGGGTCATCAGGGTCGAGGCAAGAAAGAGCGTGCCCACGAGCCTGCGCAGCGTCACGACGAACAAATCTAGCTCTCTCTTGGACTCTTCCCTGAGCGGCCGCCCAGGCAGAGGACCTGGTAGCAACGCAAGCCCCCGCACCCTCGGGACAGGAATCATACGTTAACACATTCCCAAGGCAGCCCCGGGACCAGTCCGAGCGGATAAGGGGCATGAGGTAAAGGAAAGCCTCGAGCTCTTCACGCGCCGTCGCCCACAATGGGGCCCAAGAGTGCCGGGACCTCCGAGCGAACTTGTAGACCGAGGCGAAGCAGGGGAGTAAAGGACGCTGTAGCATAGCGAGGTAGGTACAATGTCCCAGAAGAACCTCAAGGGCTTTTCCAGTTACCTTGGGCGCCTCCAAAAACGCCTCCAGAGTCAAACGAATCTTCCAGTATCGCTTTCCCGAAGGCCTGAAACACTTTAGCTTCCCATTGAACTCGATCCCAAGAGCATCCCTAACCTGCCCGGCCTCCTGAACTTCGTGGCACTGCATCTTGTTAGCGTTAAGAGCGTTTCTGATGTTACCCAGGGACTTCTGGACCTCTTTCTTGTCAGCTCCCAAGACCCCCACGTTGTCCACATGCGCGTAAAAGACGGGCGCGGAGTTCTTACCTATGGCGAGGCCGCCCCCCCTGTCCTCCACCGCCGCGGAGCTTTCCATCCCAGACGCCTCCCTTACCAAGCGGGTATTGATACGCTGGGCCCAGAAGACTGACAAAGAAAAGCCCATGGGGAGCACGGCCATGGCGGCCCACACAAGACCGTCTCCAGGAATCTCCCGTCCCCGAACATGCGCAAGCCCTAGCTCTCGTGCTCGAACGGGGGGCAGGCAGAAGTAATCGCCCAAGTCGCTGTCTATACCTATTCTGTGGAAACAATTGTCCACGTCGAGAGAGGCCTCATACAGTTCAACACCTTCCTCCACCTCCAAGCGGGCGAAACTCTCGGGCGTGGCCAACAAAGTACTAGGAGGATCTCGGAAGAGCTGATTTGTGCGCCTCGCATCGATGATAAGCCGCTGCCCCCCATCCTTTTTCCGAACGAAAAACGGAGTGGCAATCTCTTTGGGCGTAGCCGACCACCTGATCAGACCGCGCCTGTGCAACATCTTTTAAAAAACGAACGTACTCGTGCCGTCGAGTGCGAAGCTTCTGATCAGAGTACGGGTTAATACACTCGCCGTAGTCTCTCATCTGCATCACTTCCTTCACATCTCTCATCATGCTCTCCTTGAAGTTCACCACCGCCTCCCTGTCCTCCTGGGAGACCAAGTCCTGAAGCTGCTTTCTGTCCTGGGCCCCCTCGGGCAGTGAGACGAGGGTTCGATCGAACTCGACGACAGTGGAGGCTGCGTGGTCATAACCACACTTGCTCTGGAGGAGCTCGCGCACGGCTCCCTCCTTGCTCAAAAAAGGCGGCGCGGGCGGCTGTTGGGCAACCCGACCCGCAACAAAATCGTGTATCTCACTCACCACTTCTTGGCGAACGAGTGGGCTCGAAGCTCGGGAATACAACCAGTTGAGGCCCGTCAGGACCTCCCCGAACTCACGCGATTGATGGCTCCGGAGGTTGGCCCTCCGCCTGCATCTCCTCGAGAGACGCGTCGGCGGAGGAGCCGAGTGGTTACAAAACTCGAGCGGAAACAGCGGCACTCGTCGTGCTCCCTGCGCGTCACTCTCGCCTGTCAGCGTGCCTACCGCGCGGCGACTGCGGCAAACGCTATCTCTGATCTTGCTGGCAAGGGTGGAGGCGTCACTCATCCTTGTCCTCCTCATTGTCCTTGCCCTTCCCTGCGGTAATACCACGCTCGAGGGCGACCTCGGCCTCGTCCTTCGAAGCCTCGGCCTTGCTGGTCTGTCTGACGATATCCGCCCACTCTTGTACCACCTTGGCCGCGTAGGTGCAGGGCTCAGGCACCGCAAACTGACTTCGGCGGTTGCAGCACGAGAACATGTCGGCCATCTCGTGGATCGGGATCATCTGGTTCTTACCATGAGCCTCTGGTTCAAACTGCCCTCTCCGCCCCGACTTCAAGGAGACCGCGAGCGAAAAGGCGTTGCACCAATCGTGCGAGGCAGCCAGCTCGAAAACCCCCTCCATCTCCCGCACCTCTTGAGAGGAGCGATCGTTCTCACTGCAACGCGCCGTCAGGTGATGGCGCGTGAACCAGAACGTGGGCACCATCCCCAGCTGAATCAACGATGTCTTCAACCACAGGAGAGCCCGTGCACCATCCACGGCACAGGCCAAGAAGGCGTCCTCAACCATCTCCTTGACCGAGACCACCCAGACGCGCACTCTGCGGGTGAAAGCTTTGGACTTCTCCGCAAGCGTGCTCGCGACCTCTCCCCACGTCTTGTCAGGCCCCTCACCTGCCCCAGGGAGCTGCAGACACGCAAAGTCCCCCAGCAGCGCGTAGCGCCCCACGGGCGACCCAGGGTCTCCATCACGATCATCGAGCGAGTGAGTAACACCTAGGCCCGCCAAGAGAGGGAACTTGCGGCCCGCGAAGTAGCCGCCGAAAGCGTCCACCTTGAAGCACTCGAGCGCCACGACGACCGAGCCTAAGTTGGTGAAGTCGCGGCCATCGAACTTCGCGAACTGGTCGCCCTGCACCCTCACGAGCGACGTCTCCTTGAGCCCAACGAACCCGGTGACTTGCGACACCTTGGCCCTCAGCACCGATAGCTTGTCCCAGGGTTCCGCCTCAACTCTGATCGACCCGCGATCACCAGTAGCTGTCCACAACCTCGCGCAGACATAGACAACAGGCGCAGGCCCCTCCCAGATACTTTTGTCATCCAGAGCCTTAACTCCCCTCAGCAAAATCCGACCATGCCTGTAAGAACCCCCCTCGTACCAGTAGGTGTCATAGCCTCCTGGCGACGCTAACACGATGCCCGCCGTCACTGTTCGATGCGACCGAGACCTCCACGAAGAGAGGCAGCAACACGGCGAGGACCGCCAATCCGAGCGAGTAGACCACCAGCTGCTGCTCCGAGTAGCACACCCAAGAGGCCAATGTTGGCAAGGGAGACGCCCGCGCCCGAGAAGTAACGAAGCACGACCTGACGAAGAAGTCGGGCGGCTCCCGCACTCGGGCTGCCGCACCTGCGGAAGCGGACACACACAGTTGGCCGTCTTCAAACACTCCGAATACAGACGGCAATCACAGAAGCAATCTGAGCACTGGTGTCGATTGGAAAGTGAAGCTAGCGAGTTGACTTCCCTCGCAAGTCCGACAATGAGGAGACCGACGCCAATCTCTGGCCTCATGCTTTTGAACCGACAAAAACTAATTACGAGCGCGCATAGATCATTCACGTACAACTTCCAGGACGAGGAGGAGGAGGAGGCGGAGGAGGAGGAGGAGGAGGACTGGAGTGGAGTGCGTCGAGCTGCTCGCCCGTGACCCGATGGGGGACTCCCGCTTCGCCGAGATTCCTTGTTGTGTGTGGGGGGCCCCCGGCACCTAGGCGTCATCGACGTCGTCGTCATCGACGTCGTCGTCGTCGTCGGCGTCGTCGTCGTCGCCGTCGTCGTCGTCGTCGTCGTCGTCGTCGTCGTCGTCGTCGTCGTCGTCGTCGCCGTTGCTGTCGCCGTCGCCGTCGCCGTCGGCACCGCCGCCGTCGCCGTCGGCGTCGTCATCGTCGTCATCGTCATCATCGTCGTCGGCGTCGAGCTGCTCGCCCTGGCCCCCCCCCGACGGGGAACTCCCGAAGACGAAAATGTTTCGCCGAGCACCTGGGCGCCGTCGTTGTCGGCGTCGCAGTCGACGTCATCGCCGTCATCGTCGGCATCGTTGTCGTCGTCGCCGCCGCCGCCGCCGACGTCGTCGTCGTCGTCAGCGTGGTCGTGGTCGTCGTAATCGGCGTTGTCGTCGGCGTCGTCTGCGTCGTCGTTGTCGGCGTGGTCGTCGTCGTCACCGCCGCCGTCGCCGCCACCGCCGTCGTCGTCGTTGTTGTTTGCGTGGTCGAGATCGTCGACCTCGACGCCGTCGCCGCCGCCGCCACCGCCGCCGCCGGCAACGTCGTCGTCGTCGTCGTCGTCGTCGTTGTCGTCGCCGTCGTCGTCGTCGTCGTCGTCGTCGTCGTCGTCGTCGTCGTCGTGGGCGCCGTCGTATCGTCGTCACCGCCATCGACGTCGCCGTCGCAGTCGCCGCGGCCGCCGCCGCAGTCGTCGTCACCGTCGTCACCGTCTTCGTCAGGGTCGTGGTCGTGGTCGTGGTCGTCGTCGTCGTCGTCGGCGTCGTCGTGTCGTCGTCGGCGTCGGCGTCTCCGTCGTCGTCATCGTCGTCGTCGTTGGCGTCGTCGTCGGCGTCGCCGTCGCCGTCGCTGTCGCCTTCGCCAGCGCCGTCGACATCCTCGCCGCCGCCAAATTCGCTGTTGTCGTGGTCGTGATCGTGGTCGTCGTCCTCGTCGCCGTCGTCACCGTCGTCGTCGGGGTCGTGGTCGTCGTCGTCGTCGTCGCCGTCGCCGCTGTCGTCGTCACCGTCGCCGTCGCAGTCGCCGTCGCCGTCGCCGTCACCGTCGCCGTCGCCGTCGTCGTCGTCGTCGTCGCTGACGTCGTCGTCGTCATTGGCGTCGTCGTTGTCGTCGTCGTCGTCGCCGTCGTCGTCGTTGTCGTCGTCGTCAGCGTGGTCGTCGTCGTCTTCGTCATCGGCGTCGTCGTCGGCATCGTCTGTGGGGTCGTCGTCGGCGTCGGCGTCGGCGTCGTCGCCGTCGCCGCTGCCGCCGTCGGCGTCGTCGTCGTCGCGGTCGTCGTCGTCGCAATCGAGGTCGTGATCGCCGTGGTCGTCGTCGTCGTCGTCGTCGTCGTCGTAGTCGTCGCCGTCGTCGTCGTCGTCATCGTCGCCGTCGTCGTCAACGGCGCCGCTGTCATCGTCGTCGTCGTCATCGTCGTGGTCGTGGTCGTCATCGTCGTCGTCATCGTCGTCGTCGTGGTCGTCGCCGGCGTGGTCGTCGTCGTCGTCGTCGGCGTCGTCGTCGGCGTCGCCTGCGTCTTCGCCGTCGGCGTCGTGCTCGTCGTCGCCGTTGCCGCTGTCGCCGCCGCCGCCGTCGCCTTCGTCGTGGTCGTCGTCAGCGCCGTCGAGGTCGTGGTCGCCGTCGCCGTCATCGCCGTCGTCGTCGTCGTCGGCGTCGTCGTTTGCGTGGTCGAAGTCGTCGACCTCGACGCCGTCGCCGCCGCCGCCACCGCCGTCGTCGTCGTCGTCGTCGTCGTCGTCGTCGTCGTCGTCGTCGTCGTCGTGGTCGTCGTCGTCGTCGTCGCCGTCTTCGTCGTCGTCGTCGTCGACGTCGTCGTCGCCGTCGCAGTCGCTGTCGCCGTCGCCATCGCCGCTGCCGCCATCGTCGTCGTCGCGGTCGTCCTCGTGGTCGTGAACGTGATCGTCGTTGTCGTCGTCTCCGTCGCCAGTCGTCGTCGTCGTCGTCGTCGTCGTCGTCGTCGTCGCCGTCGCCGTCGCCGTCGCCGTCGCCGTCGCGTCGCCGTCGCCGTCGCCGCCGCCGCCGCCGTCGTCGTCGTCGTCGCCGTCTTTGTCGTCGTGGTCGTGGTCGTCGTCGTCGTCGTCGCCGTCGCCGACGTCTTCGGCGTCGTCGTCGGCGTCGTCGTCGTCGTCGTCGTGGTCGTGGTCGTCGTTTACGTCGTCGTCGGCGTCGTCGTCGTCGTCGGCGTCGTCGCCGCCGTCGTCGCCGTCGCCACCCGGGCCGCACCTCGCTCCAGGCGGCCTGCTCGCCAGGGGTCACCTCCGCGAGAGAACGGCACCCGCTCACGCTTGGCGCCCGAGCACTTTTGGCGTGCCTCTCGTGTTTTCGTTTTGCTTTCGTTTTCCCTCGTTTCGTCTTCAATCCGCCTGTTCTGCATGAACCTGGCGCGACCCCATCTAGGGTTAGGTTCGTGAGTTGCTACTACAGGCGGTCCACGACCACTTCGGGCCAAAAAACCCAAACCAGACAAAAACACCAGGAAATCTTGAAACCAAAACCTGGGGAGGTTGACATCCTGAACAAAACTCAAACACCGAACCTGCGAAAAACTCAAACCCACAAAAACATACGAAAAAACCTGAAGCTCAAACCTGGGAAAAACTCAAACCAAACAAAAACTCCAGAAAATCTCTAAGCCGAAGCCTGGGAAAACTAGTGGAAAAACTGTGGAAACAACTCTGGAAAAAAAACTTTAAAACGACTCTAAACAAACTCTGGAAAAAACTCTGGAAAAACTCTAAACAACTGAAAAGTCTAAAAAAAACTCTGGAAAAACTCTGGAAAAACCTCTAAACGACTGAAAACTCAAAAAAAACTATGGAACAACTATGGAAACACTCTGGAAAAACTTAAACAACAAGCTCTAAAACAACCTTCCGGGTTTGATTTTTTTCCGGGTTTCCGCTTCAAGTGTTTTCTAAGTTGTTTTAAGGTTTGAGTTTTTCCCAGGTTTCGGCTTCAAGATTTCCTGTAGTTTCTTCTGCGTGTGAGTTTTCCCCAGGTTTTGTGTTTGAGATTCTCTCAGGTTGTCTTGGATTTTGAGTTTCCCATTCAAGATTCTTTAACCTTTTTTTGGAGTTTGAGTTTCCGGCCGAAGGTGTTTTGAAGCTTTGGGCAGGATTTCCGCTGGACCGCCTGTAGTCAATTCACGAACCTAAAACTAGGGGAAAGCCTATTGCATGGGCGCATCGCTGGGCGCATCGCTTGGCATGGCATGGCAGTGCTTGGCGCTCCTTGGCACTGCTTGGCATTGCTTTGCACGGGTTGGCATTGCTTGGCATTCCTTGGCTGCTTGGCATTGCTTGTTGCTTGGCATTGCTTGGCACTGCTTCTGGGCAGCCGGGGGTGGTGAACCCGAAGAGCCCAGGGAACCCGAGGAACCCGAAGAAACTCCGAGGGACGGGCAACGTGACAATAGGAGGCACCGGGGGCGGGGAACCCGAAGAACCCGAGGAACCCGGGGAACCTCCGGTGAACGGGCAAAGTAAGCCGTGGAGTTCTGCGTGGATTTTTGCCCGAAGCGGCGAGCAAAAACGACATGAACTTCGCGTGGGTTCTTGTTGGCCTTCACTCCTGGCCAAAAGAGACCCGCACGAAATGCACCTCGAAATCCAGAGCGCAGTTCTCGAGGACACTCCGGGCCCATCCCATCGTTTTCCGAACGAACAACCTCGGCTACACGTAAGAGTGACCCTGGGTAAGAGTGACCTCTGGTGCGCGGCTTTTGGGGGGCCGCGGGGAGGGCAAATCCAGGCGCGCTAGCCGCTACTACCGCTTCGCGTTCGGCCATCTGGGGGCCCATCAGTGCCCGCACCAGAGGTCTCTCCGGCGAAAGGTCACTCTCATACGTCTAGTCGCCCTGCGATGTTGGCGCGATGACTTCTCGCCACGCGGGGGGGGTCTGGGAGCGAAGGGCGCCTGGCCGACCCACGCCGCGGTGCGCGCAGCGCGAGCCTCCCAGAGACCCGACGTCGTGATTTGCTCAATGCGCGGTCCCTGGAAGTCTCGACCCATTCCCCAGGACGGGTATCCTTGGGGATCCTTCGGGAGTTCTAAGGACAGGGAGCCTCAGTGAACCCTTTAGGACACAAAAAGAACCTTCAGGAATCGCAGGACAACCTCGGGAGTCCCCTGACATCTTTCAGGAAACCACAGGAATCCAGGAATCCGGAGGAGTCCTTCAGGAAACGGAATATGAATCCTCAAAAACCCTGGAGAAAACCCAAGGGATCCCCCGTAATCCCTCGGGAAGCCTTCGGGTACCCTTTCTGGGAATCCTTGCGGCATCCGCCAGCAATCCTTCAGGAATCCTCAGGCTTCCTCCAAGAAGCCCCAGGAATCCTACAGGAATCCCTAGCCATCCTACAGGAATCCTACAGGAATCCCTAGCCCTTCTGTGCCCGCACCAAAGGTCACTCCGGCGAAAGGTCACTCTTATACGTCTAGTCGCTCTGCGATGTTGGCGCGATGACTTCTCGCCACGCGGGGGGGGGTCCTGGAGCGAAGGGCGCCCAGCCGACCCACGCCGCGGTGCACGCAGCGCGAGCCTCAGTGAACCCTGTAGGACACAAAAAGAACCTTCAGAAATCGCAAGGAAACCTCGGGAGTCTCCTGACATCTTTCAGGAAACCAAAACAATCCAGGAATCCGGATGAGTCCTCCAGGAAACGGAATATGAATCCTCAAAACCCCAGGAATCCCCCGGAATCTCTCGGGAAGCCTTCGGGTATCCTTCCTGGGAATCCTTGAGGCATCCGTCAGCAATCCTTCAGGAATCCTCAAGCTTCCTCCAAGAAGCCCCAGGAATCCTACAGGAATCCCTAGCCATCCTGAGGAATCCTCAGGAATCCTCCGGAATTCCTTAGGAAGCCCCAGACTTACGAAAGGGCCTTCTCACACCAACACCGACGCCCCAACAGACCCCGACGACGAACATGTTCCCCAATAATAAGACGGCTTCAGGACGGCCCAAGAGACCCCCTGGACGGTCCCAAGAGAGCCCCAAGCTGGCGCAAGAGGGCCTCCGGAAGGATACAAGACGGTCTCAGAGGGTCCTTCGACGGCCCAAGACGGCACCACGAGACCCTCCAGACGGCCAAAGGGGTCCCGAGCCGGCCAAAAAAAAGACAAACAACGGAAGCCGAACCCAACAAACCACGGAAACGGAAACCGAACACCACAAACCACGGAAACGGAAACCGAGACTCACAAACCACGGAAACGGAAACCGAACCCAACAAACCACGGAAACGGAAACCAAACCCAACAAGCCACGGAAACGGGAACCGAACCCCAAAAACCACGGAAACAGAAACCGAACCCCACAAACCACGGAAACGGAAACCGCACCCCACAAGCCACGGAAACGGAAACCGAACCCAAAAAGCCACAAAAACGCACACCGAACCCAACAAACCACGGAAGCGGAAACCGAACCCAACAAGCCACGGAAGCGGAAACCGAGCCCAACAAGCCACGGAAACGGAAACCGAACCCCACAAACCAAGGAAACGGAAACCGAACCCCGCAGACCACGGAAACGGAAACCGTCGAAAGGAATCTTTGGACTGTACAATGTTGTAGGATGGCTGACAATTTTTTGAATCGGAAATGAGAAGGAGAAGGCCTCAGAAGGCGGCGGGGCTTCTCAGAAGGCCTCCGGCCTTCTGAGAGGTTCTCTGTGTCTTCGGGGAAGGCTTACACAACTTCCCAGAAGGCCGAGGGCCTTCCGAGCCTTCTGAGGAGGCCCGCCCCTTCTCACCTGCCCCCCGGGCGCAACGCCGAGTATAGTTGGTGCTCTCCGAGCCTGGTGCCCCGGTGCCGCGGCTGCTCCAGAAGAAGAGAACACGCCATGAGCACAAAACTTTTGGCGCTCCGCGCCGACTCCTTGGATCTGCGCTGGACCCCCCCCCCCCGGAGGCGCCGCCAGGGGGGGCCCAGCGCGGATCCAAGACATCCGCGCGGAGTGCCAAAAGCTTATGCTGATGGCGCATCTCTGACTACCTACCAGACCACCCCAACCCAACCCGAAGACCCCAATTTCGGGTTGGGGGGGGTACGGGTTCCATACGTGTTTTTTCGATGTTCCCCGACCCCCCCCAACTGGAAATGGAGGGCAAATTGAGGCCTTCGGGTTGGGTTGGGGTGGTTTGGTGGGTGGTGAATTTCCTTCCTCGCTGCTCCCGCCCGCGCGCGCGGGCCGTCGCCGGCGCCGCGCTGCCGGAGCCACCGGGCAGCGCCCGCGGGCCCGGCGGGCCCGGCGGGCGGCGTGTCCCAGGCGTCGTGCGCCGCGCGGCGCGGGGCCGGCCATGGCGAAGCTCGGGGGGTGTTCTTCCGAGGGGCTGCGATCGGGGGGTGGGGGGGGGCAGCTCGGTGAAGGGGCCCAGGGGCACACGAGTGAATGCACACAAATGTACCCACACCTTCCCCACGTTTTTTCTCGTATTTTCTGGATCTTCGTCTTCCCCCCCGCTTCCCATATTTTCCCATGTTTCCTGGGGGATCGACGATTCATTGTGTCTGTGTGTTTTTTCCCCTCCTGACCCAGGGGGGAAACAGGAAGCATCGACCTGGAATCAGCGATACCTCGCTGGCATGTATCGGCGACAGGCGGAAGGCAGCGAATCCGCACGTTCCTGGGCAGGGCGGGCAGTCGGGCCCCTTGTCGGCGGTCAGTGGGCGACTGGGGGTCGCTGCGTTCCCCCCTGAGTTTGTCCCCCCCCCCCCCCTTACCGTTGCCCCTGAGTTCACGAGTCGGCTATACGCAAGAGTGACCCTGGGTAAGGATGACCTTTGGTGCGCGGCTTTTTGGGAGCCGCGCGGAGACCAAATCTGGGCGCGCAAGCCGCTGCTACCGCTCCGTTTCCAGCCATCTGAGGGCCCCTCTGTGCCCGCACCAAAGGTCACCCCGGCGAAAGGTCACTCTTACGCCTAGTCGGACGAGGCGCCCAAGCTCGCGGAGAAGAAGATGGCATCAACCCGGTCCCCTAATTTTCGGTCGGGCACGTCCCCCCCCCCCCCCCCCCCCTACAGGCGCATTTTGGACGAAGGATGAAACATCCCCCCCCCCCAAAAAAAAGAAGAAGAGAGCAGAATGGCCAACAAATGCCCCCCAAAATCGTTCCCCGACTATTTTTTTGACTAATTCTGATTTTTTATTTTTTTATTTTTTGTGGAGGGACAGGCCCGACCTCACCCCAGCTCCGCGCGCGGCGCCCCGCGCTGCGCGAGGCGCGGCGGGCCCTCCGCGCCCCCGCGAG